TGGGCCAGACAGGAAGTCCGGAAACTTTCAACATAATATGTTAATAGAGGTGAAATCTTCAAGATAACAAGAAAAGTGCAGTTCTTTTCAATTAAACTTGCAAGATTTCAAAACAAATGACACACACATATTTCCAGTTGCTTAAAGCTTTTATAGCAAATCTGCAAACAAGGTAGATTTTGAATGCAAACACCATCATAAAACATTTGCATCCACTGGAACCATAAACCCACATTGCCAGAGGAGATGAGAGAGTGCTAAACACCAGTAGCCGTTTACTAGGTCTAAATGTCTTTTGTTATCTGTGACTTCAAGTGGTGTTTTCCTTTTTGGGACTCTGGTAGTTTGTCCTGAAGCTGAGGTGGTAGCAGCCGGTTCTCCTTCTCTTATTGAGCGGAGAACCTCTCACACCAGTGGTGTTCTGTTGCTAAATACATGAGTGCATAATGAATGGAGGAGTGGGTGGGTTTTCCTTGCTTCTTATCACCTGACCTGCCGAAATAATTTAATATCTTGCAGTTCTCTGTCATGACTTTGCTGGACTGGCTGCATGGAACGCTTTCACTGCCGTTTGTTTCTGAATCGCTCCGCTTATGCATCCAGTTGAAATGCCAGATCAAAATTAGGGTTTGTGTGCAAAAGTTTTTTTTTACCTGAACCTGGAACACCTGAGCTGCAGAGAACAAAATAAATAAACTAATTTAGATAACTTGAAAGTCACTTGAATTGTATGAAAAAAGAGAAAAATGTAACTGCTTATAACATTTTAATAGCTGTTTCAACTACTACTACTAATAATAACATTAATAATAATCATCATCATCCTAACAACAATAATAATAATTGAAATTTATTTATTTATTTATTTTACTTACTCATTATTTTATTTTTGTTTATTTATTCTTTATTTCACCATGATCCCATTGAGATTATTATTACTGCGCGCGTGCGTGCGTGCGTGCGTGCGTGCGTGCGTGCGTGCGTGCGTGTGTGCGTGTGTGTGTGTGTGTGTGTGTGTGTGTGTGTGTGTGTGTGTGTGTGTGTGTGTTTCCCCACCCTTGGGCTCATTGTGGTCTGCGTGTCGGTGGTTTGAGGGTTAAGAATAGCTGATCTGCATGGTGGTGAATGAAGTGTCGGTTTTCAGCGCTAAACTCCTCCTCTCTGGACAGCCAGCCTGCGCCTTTCCTTCCACTCCAACAACCAAGTAGTTTTCGGAGCGCACTCTCCGGCAGCAATGTGGAGGGAAGGGCCGAGCGGCTGAAATTTCCTGACTCCACCGTTTTCTTTTTTTTTCGTTTTGTTTTTTTGTTTGTGGACTTTGTGTTTGTTGATGAACAACGGGGAAAGAAAGCGAGTGAGAAGTGAAGAACTCGTGTTTTCTCTCCCCTCCTCCTCTCTTCTTTTTGCTTTCTTGGATATGCGGAGATGCAGCTGGAACTGTTGCTCATTCTGAGTCGCCCTGGTTGTTTTACTTCATGTTGTGCTCTGGTTGTTTAGGAGCGACAGAGAGAAAGCTCATTCCGCACAAGAGCCACAAGTAAAGATCTACGAGGACCGCAAGTGGTTCCCAAGCAGCAGCAGCAGCAGCAGCAGCAGCGGCGGACACGAAACTTTGCCAAGTTGCTGCGCATCCGGGAGGCAGACGCCAAATATTCACCGATATTTCCAACCGGCGCCAGAGTTTCAGCTCCTAACTGTGGATTATTAACGGCAGACTCGTTATGGAGCACGGAACCAAGTTCAGAGGATGAGAGAGCAGTTCTGAAACATGAACTGTTGCGTCTAGTTCACCTATTCGGACTACACGCTGACAAGAAAAAGAAAACTAAACTGTTTCTGCGCTTTTTTTTTTTGTTTTTTTGCGTGTTTGTTTCCCCCCCAACTGATCCAACTGGTGCGTAAAAATGCCACAACTGAACGGAGGCGGAGGGGACGATTTGGGGGCCAACGATGAAATGATATCGTTCAAAGACGAAGGGGAGCAGGAGGAAAAGATCTCCGAAAACGTCTCCGCGGAGAGGGATTTAGATGATGTGAAATCCTCCTTAGTGAACGAGTCGGAAAACAACAGCAGCTCGTCAGATTCGGAGGTAAAATGACATTAAACATAACAATAAGCGGTACAAGTCCACGCTCCACGTGCTGCAAACCATATTATACAGACAAAGTTTTAATAGTTTGTCCGCTCCTATGTGTGTGTGTCCTCCCTGGCAGCAGGCAGAGAGGCGCCCCCAAACCAGAGCCGACTCAGAAAGTTATGAGAAAACACGAGACTACTTCAGCGAAGGTAAATGTGAAAACAGTCATTTAAATCATGAGTTAGGATTAATGATGGCGTGTGAGTTGTGAGACTTTCTCTCTTCTCCCTGCAGCACTGAGAAGACAGCAAGATGGTGGCTTTTTTAAGAGTCCACACTATCCAAGCTACCCGTTTCTAATTATGCCAGACCTCACCAACCCATACCTATCCAACGGCTCTCTGTCTCCCGGTGCAAGGACAGTAAGTGTCCCAGTGGGTCCACCTTACTTCTTTTTACGCAGCGGTTTCTGCAGAGAAACTTGGGCCGTACGTAAAAGTTCCTTGTGCACTGCCAGACCGCCATATTCCCTCCAAGTGGCCTCTCAAGGAGTAGTACTAACTACTTTGTTCTTTTAGGGCATGTGAACGTCTCCTTGCCACCTTCACTCACTCGAACTTGGCATCTGACAACATCTAGATTGGCACAAAGCTTCATATTTACAATAAAATCATACCTGGATCTTTTTGTTTACTTTACTTGCCTAATTAAAACTGATCTCATCTAAGGTGTTCCCTTTTAAGGAATCACATGCAAGAGCTGAGAACGTAAATATTTATTGTGAGGTTTATTTTTTTAAGTTTGAGCTTCCCTTTTGCCCCTCCTTTTGTGATTTTGGTGATTTTTCTTCCCCCCAGTGTGCAGGCCGGTAACCACCATCTCTGTGACTCTGTGCACAAAAGGAAAAGGTTGTCCCTAGAGTTACATCCTGCAGAGTAATATCTCACTGTGACACACATGAGAGGCAGTTTGCTGCAGCGCCTGTGTGACAGACGTTGTCCAGAGACTTTAAATGACTAGATAAGGTTGGCAGCGGAAGGCATGTGTTGTTGAGCTTGCAGGGAGGTTGTTCTGTCGTGTGCATGCTGGCGTCACACCGATCCTCACTAAAGTTTCAAACTGATTATTACACTTAACACTGATTATTGCATTACTTTGTTTGCTGTGGCTATTATATTTTCTCCCCCCTCACCAGTGTAAGTGCTGCTGTAAACGTCCCATGTTTGCAGTTGGAAGCTGCAAGAGTTTAGTGTGTGTCACAAAGGAGGAAATGGAGTCCACCAAAAATGGCCAGAGGATTTCTACACGTAACCAACCCTAAAGAGTTCACCCTTCTCCCAGCCACGTTTGGGATAAATTAACCAAACAGGTTTCAAATGGGACTATGAAAACTTCCTGATATAATCCCTGCTGGAGAGCTGTGTTCCCTCTGAGATAATCCCACCCCCAAACCTGGCCACCGCCCCCCCATTAAAAAAAAAGTACTTTCCTTAAAGCCTGCTGGCATCTGACTGAAGAGACACCCTCCCCGCCTCTACCACCACCCTGTCTCCTTTTCACTGTTTCAGGCCCGCTCACATGGCCTCCCCGTATCTTCCATTCAATTAGAAAGGCGTTAGTTGACCATTGTTATTCTGAGCGGTCTTGACGGCTTCATTGGAGGTCTCCATTGGGGCTCATTACCTAAATGGCTACCCTCCTCAATCTAAGTGATTCATGGCACCTTGTTAGTTTTGCAGGAAGACTAGAAAGTTGTCTTGTAAATAATTAAACAGGCTGTCTAGTTTTCTTGACTTGTCTAGTCAAACAAAGTGCAGATGGTTGTTTTTGTCCCTCCGGGGCAAAGTAAAAAATAATTAAAGAAGGCTTTTTTTTAAATTGAGGGGTATTAATCCTCCATATCTGAATGAGGTGAATGGGGCAGAGAGAGCTGACCGTGTCAATCATCACTCTGGCAGAAAATGAGCCAGCAGACAATAGCTGGCATATTTAGCAGGTCTCCATATTGCCCTGCCCTTGTTGGCCTAGTGTGGATGTGAATGATGAGAGGCTCAAGTTAGTACCTTTTTAGCCTCTCATTCTAGACACTGGGGCTGTTTGGGTCTGTGGATAATCACCATTCCCTGCGGTCCAATCTTGTGAATGATATTTTACCAGTGGCCAACGCGAGCACGGTTAAACTGATGATCTCCGCGGGTTTAAAATGATCCCGCACCACCAGTCTGAAACGTGCAGATCAGCCAGGGAGATAGGTGCAACCCATCCTGGTACTTGGCAAACGCGCCGTGACACGGCGCGGCTCAGAAAACCCTGCAGAGGCCGAGAGGTTTGCTTTACCTCTGAGTGGTATGTGGTTGTACTTGTGCCGCGTGAGCTATGTCTGTGGAGCGGATCGTGTGATTAACGCCAGGCAACAAAACTCCACCGTTTTTATTCCGAGGTGGGGAGCTGCAGTTTTATAGCTCTGAGTAAATATTTTTGTAATTACAGATGTGTGCTGTAACGTATCCTGGTGAAATCGTTCATTTATGGCTTGACTTTTAAATACTTTTGCACGCTTTCATAAGAGCGTAACAAACACAAGATGTTCCAGAGTCACGATGCAGTCGTTTCACCCAGCGCTTAACTACGCGATGGAGGATTTGGGCCCCAAACTTTATGAAAAAATTTGAATGTGGCAATCCCATCATGAGCAATGAGAGACAGGCCTACATGGGATCAGCACAGAGTTCCCCCGAGGGCCAAGCATAACTGATTTAAAGCCTGCTCCGAGCTGACATTCCGCTGTAATCCACTGAGAGCTGAGGAGGAGGTTTTATGTTTGCAGAGATGTTCCACCAGACTCCTGCCTGCTGTGCAGTTAAGAGCCTGAGTCCCCCCCCCCCCCCCCCTTACAAACTTGGCTTAACAAATCCAGCTCATTGTTTGTCAGTTTGCGGCTTTGTATTATTCCAGCAGTGCCCAGTTTTAGCTGGTGAAAAAACACACACACACACACTCTCTGCCCTGCGCCATCTCCTGTCACCTTTCTCAGCACTGCTAGATAACTCTGCTCGTACATCATCATCTTCGTCACTAAAGAGTGAAATGCCTCTTGAGTGTAAGAGGTGGCAAGTAGGCGAGAGCGGAGCCAGCCGCTCAAACATATCTTCATCAAATACGCGGTGGGACACTGGAGCTCCCGAAGCCCGATTGTTAAAACTGTTTGAGATCGAGATATGAACAGAAAAGGGTGCAGAAGTCTGAACATGTCGGCAGGCTGCCATTGCATGTCTCAACCCCCCCCCCCCCCCCCCCCCCCCCACACACACACACACACACACACTTTTTTCTCATCCTTTCTGCTGCTTTTTGGTGCTTAAAAATGTGCAGACAAAGAAAAGTCAACATGAGTATTGTCCGGTGGAATAAAAGGACCTCTCCCTGCAAAAGCAAAGCCTGTTTGTGTGGAGGTGTCTTTTCATCAGGTGGCTCGGTTGGCGTCTCACACACCTTGCTGTGCATGAGTCTGTGTGTGTGAGACTGTGCAAATGGGCAAGCATGCAGCCATGCATGTAAGTCTGTAAGTGCCACAAGTCGTGGTGGGGGTGTGGGAGGGGGTGCGTTCAGGTGAGGCTGTGTTGATATTTTGCAACAGAGGGAACAGTGTGCACGGCTCACATTCAGACAACCGTCAGTGTTGTGTTCCCGAATCGTAGCGCGCAAATATTTCCTCAGCCGAGCGCTGTGTCAACAGAGCTAACATTTTTCACTTGGTTTTTACTTTTTGAAAGAGTTTTTCTTCAAAGACAAACACATCTACATCAATCTGGTGGCACTGTTCAATCAGAAACAGATCCCCAGCAACCGCAGAAACGCTGCAAGCTCTTGGCTTGAGTGATTCATTCTGATAATAATCTTTTGTGATGAAAAAAGTAAATAAACAGACCCTGTCCAGGGTGTACTCCGCCTGCATGCCCGTAGACTGCTGGAGAGAGGCACCAGCCCCCCCGCGACCCTGTATGGACAAGCAGGTACAGATCTGGATGGATGGAAATAAAAGAAACAAGTGATTGCAGCCTAAACGGTTGGATATTTTAACCATCGTGTAACAAACATCCAATGTAGTTAGTGAAACACAAACCAAAACAGTTTTCAGCTTCATCCTTTCATCTGGACTTTTTCACGCCAACATGCATCTTCCATTTACATTTCCTTTTCATCAGGAATGCCCGTGCTTGCTTCCTAACGTTGCTCGCACAGATCTGTGAGAAATGGTGTCAGTCCTGGTCTGCATCCTTCCCTCTCTGGTCTCTGTGGAAAGGCTGAGCTGGCTTCAATTCCTCCTGCTACGCCATAGCCTGCTAGTTCACTACCTAAACCCACCCACTCGCCCGCTTGGCATTAGAAATTCTGTTTATAGCGCTCTCTGGCTTCTCGAGCTCAGGGCCCATCAGGAGCATCTCTGCACCCTTTGAGGAAAGGATAACCAACATCTCCCCTCTCCAGCCGCAGACTCCCCATGTTCAGTGACATCAATGAATCCCTTTGATGTGCCAAGATGAATATATCTGTGCAAATGTTTTTTTTTAAATCAGTTTATGTGTTTTTCTCGTTTGCTATGTTTGGCCGGAGTTTCTGCGCTGTTTGGTGGTTTGCTTTTCCCAGTGAATATTTGGGCTAACTTGTGTTTGAGTTCAAAGACTCGTTGGTAGATGCCGGTGAACATCTCCTTCACACCTGAATTCACTCCCAAGTTTTCACTTTTGAAGCTTTGATCCAGTTTTGATTTTTTGTTATTGACCCAACAGAATTTAAAAAATAAAGAAAACCCATGATGTGGAGTCAGATGTTCAGGTGTTGTAGTAAAGTTGAACTCTGGCTGTGGGTAAAGGGGAACTGTCGTTCGTGCCTACACTTGTCCCAATTCCTTTCTGGAACAATCACAATTTGTTGTGGATTATAATCACTTCACACTTAGGCTGCTGAAAGTTTGAGACTGGGTTTTCAGAGATCATGGCTTATTCTTCCTTATGCCCCAAAGCTGTGCGAGTCGGAGGAGGAGGAGTCGTGTAACATTCTGGTTTAATCTGGTCAGTCCTGTGGTAATAATCCATAGTCCAATGGAGAAAATGGGCCCACAGATTTATATGAAGCATCTTCTCGCACAGTCATATCCAGTCAGGATCTTGTTTTTTGTAATTTTTGTCACATATTAACCTTTTTGTGTTAGTAGTTCAGATGCAATAGAAGATTATGAAAATTACATTTTAATTACAAGTTCACTCAATAGTATTAGCTAAGATCTTTTGAAGTGACTTCAAGTGTAAAAGTTATGATCTGACCTGGTTTAAAAAGCTCTCTTAGCAACCTCACATTGGAAAATTGAGAAATTCTATGATGATTGATAGGCTAATAGCTAGTCACAGCAGGGTTCTAGACA